TGCCCAAATCCATTACAGAATATCTCCTCTAATTCCATGAGCCTCCACTTTTTGTATTAGTCTTTCGTGGGGACTCTGCTGAAGGCTTTGCTAAAGTCGAGGTATACCACATCATAATCGTATCTGTTATCCACTGATTCGGAACAGTTGAAAAGAATGTTAATAGATTTTTCAGACATGAACGCCCACTTCTGAAGCCATGTTGGGATTCATTGATCAACTTGTGCTTCTCGAGGTGGTTTCAGATAGAGTTTGAAATTATTGCTTCCAGCAATCTATCTCCCTTCTTGAAAATCTAGATCACATTCGTTTTCCTCCAGGAATCTGGTACTGCACCCGTTTTTAATTACATGTTAAAAAAATTTGCTAAGTGCATAATAAATTCTTCCTTACATTCCTTTAATGCTCTGGCACCATCCATCATCACTACATATAACACCATCCATCATCACTATAGATCGGTAAAGTAGTTTCCGAGATTCTCGTGCGAACACGCACACACAAACAGACAGACTTCTTTGTTTTATATATATATATAGTAGTACCAGGGGTTGTAACAATATTAATCCTATATATACTGTAGTAGTATCATCAGTAATACCAATAGTAATGTCAGTTGTAATACAAGAAGTAGCAGCGTTAGCAGTAGTGTCAGGAGGGATATTGGAAGCAATAACATTTTCAGTAATACCAGTATCAGTACAATATTAGTAGTAATAAAAATAGCATCACTATCAGTAGTACCATCCAAATTTGGGAAGCAGACAGGAAGAATATCTCCCAACATTTCAGAGATTAAAATCGATGACGCTTCAAGTATAATCCTATGTGTAAAAAGAGTATTTTTTTTCGGTGAGCCTCAGAGCCAGCCCGTGATATTTTGATATATGAAGATACAGGGAAGAGCTCGCTGAAGTATGATATTTCACCATAGCCGTGACAGGAGCTATATAGGTTACTTACCAAGTCACAGTATTAAATGTAGTTATTAGATTTTGCTATACTAGAATACCATGGTTATAAGTCAGCACCATATAGTAAGACTAAAACATAGTTTTATGTATTATATATTACTCAGCACAACCTGATGGTGTCTCCCTCGTAGTAATCAAATAGTGCACTGTTTCATTTACTATTATTATAATGGACTGGACACAAAAATTACGAGTATAATTCCTTTATGGTGTTTGGTGCCCAATTACTGTATTGGTAGTGACTTGAACACTAGTGTACTGTCTGTTGCTCACTTACCCTTGTAATGATGACCTGAACAGGAGGAGTAACGTCGGGTGAGAACCAGGCGAGCGTCAGCAGGTTGAAACCGTTACAGGTGGTGGTGAGCGGCGCCCCAGCTACCAGCAGGAGGCTTACCATTTCGCGCCGGTTACTAGTAATAGCCAAAGGGAGGGGCTGGGTGGATGAGCCACTCGGAGACTCTAAAGGCGCTCCTGAACACAACAGATGACACCCCTGAACGTAGTCGTCACCTTGGGTTATGCGAGACAGCAGTTGGTTGTACAGTTCTTCTGGTGACCCTTGAACCTGTGTAAGACAAATGTTACTCTGATCCTGTTGTAAAAGCAGAACCTATGAAGATATAGCTGTTTTACTGGTGACCATGTACAGGTAATTACCCTTGAAGTTGGGTAACACGCATATGTTTTATTGATGATACTGTACTTGTATAAGTAATCCTGTCACACAACAGACCTGAAAGGACTCCACACATGATCCAGTGACCACATTTTGGCAATGGTCTTTTCATGTGCACATCACAATTTTATGAATATTGTTACAGAAAATGGGCAATGGATAAGGCGAAAGTCGAAGTTTCTTTGCTCTTAGTCTTAGTTTAGTTAATCTTAAAATGTTAAAAGTTTTCTTTACCAGTTTGTGTTTAGAACTTTTTGAGGGAATTTATTTAATTGTAATACCTTGTAATACTCATGACCAATTACGTAACAAAAGCCAATCTGTTTGCATTTTCAACTCTTATAGCTATTAAAATTCACTGTAGGTCACTATTTCCTTAGATGGTTTAATTGAATATTTGATATCATTAACACAGTTGATATGACAACACTCAACACTGTATAAATAATAGGAAGGGAAAATATGCAAGCGTTTTTATATAAAATTATTAAAACAAAGTTATTACTAAACACTTGTACTGTACAGTCCCCTTCACTAGTGCGTTTACAGGGGCTCGTCAGGTTTTGTGCAATGTAGGAGCGCTGTGTTTGTTTGCATTCGACAGAAGAAATCTCGCAAAAGTAACATACTATGGAATCAAAGTAAAACAATGTTAAATCAAATATCTCAATGTAATGACTTCTGGAATGTTACATGACTAGCCCCTGTAAACGCACTAGTGAAGGGTACTAAACGTATATGGTCGTTGCCACAAACAAACAGTTACCAATCATCAAAATAATAAAATTAGTACATGGGTGAAAATTAATACAAGGTGGTTAGTAGATCCAGACAGCACTCTGGCAGGGTATAAGTCCACAGTATGTTTACCACACACATGTTCCCTATGATATATCATGGAATCCACACATCCACAACAGTGCAAAAGCTGCCTCCCGAAAGCTGGGAATGTTGTACAGATGCCGTAGCAACTTTACTCATATTTGCGGTGGTTCTTCTTCAGTCCAACTGTTAGAGAGGGTGGAATCAAAGGCATTTCGACTTATTAACTCTCATCCTTTAGTCAATAATCTCTCTTACCTTTCTCTTCTTCGCCGCAACATTGTTTCACTCTCTCTCTTTTTTACAGGTTCTTTAACGGGCAATGTTTGGAGATTTTAGCATCCTGTGTACCGCCGGCAAGGCAGTGGGGTCGTAACACTCGTTTTGCCCGCGGTGCCTATCGTTTCTTTGTGGATGTCGGTCACACTAGAATAACCCGTTATAGTACATCCTTATGTCCTAACTCAGCTAAACTGTGGAATGCTCTGCCTTCTTCTGTGTTTCCACCCTCTTACAATCTGTTTCACTTCTAAAAGCTGGTTTTCCGGCATCTTCGTGTTGAAGATTAATATAGTCTTTTCTCCTCTATTTTCTAACTTATTTTTCGCCCCCCCAGGCCCCGTTGCGGGTCGATGACCTATGTCCAGGTGGTTTATTCCCCGTTGAAGAAAATACATTGAATAAATTTTTTTTATCATTAACTTGAAAAAAGATTATTCTAGTAACTGGAGTGGTGGTCATCGTTAAAAGGCTGGAGCATCACTTTGGCCGATGAATTTATGGTAAATAAAAGATGAATGTTGTGTTTATTTTTATCGAGTAAGTGGCTCGACCTAAGGAGCAGCAGGTTCCTGGTGGCTGCTTGGTAATGAGAGTATTGTTGAGGGCATGGTGCGATCATGTGGATAGAGTCAAGGAAACCAACTATTTCAAGAGATGCTCCGACTTGAATGAAGAGAAGGAGAGTTAGGGGTAAACCAAGAATAATTTGCAAGAAATTAACTCAGAGATAAGATCCTGTAGAGAGAGGCTGCAAGTCCTCAAGCGCTATAAAGAGCTGGTGCCAGGTAACCACTTCTAACTCATACAAGGTTGGGAAAATGCCCATAGGCGGTGGTAGTGATGATGATGACGATAATGATGATGCTGATGATGATGATGATTGATGATGGCTGTACGCACGTTATTTTGTTATTTAACTACTGAACTAAAACTATTTTTATATCACTAACCTGTGGAGGCCGATGATTTTGGATCCTATGCAGTACATTTTGATGACCTCTTCGTCGTGCCAGATCAGCAGGAGTCTCACCATCCCAAGTCACCGCATGTGGGTATAGTTCAAACATATCCAAGAGGGAACCCACCACATTAATGTAGCCGAGCTCCGCCGCCCAGTGGAGGAATGTCCGGCCAGCAGCGTCCTGCAGGTGGTGGTTCACCATGCCTAAGGTCTTTCCCCGATAGAAGTTTTCTGAGTCCTCTTCTTTGATTACCTCTAACAGATCTTTATAACTATCTTCACAATATTTCCAGAATGATTTCTGTAATTATAAGGAATATAAGTAACCAGTATTGTCTCTTCTTACAGTGTTGAAACAGAAATATATTTATATCATATGAACATATCACGGACGAAGAAGAGTGACAAACACAAAATTCCTTCCACAGACGTTGATATCACTCAGTGACTGGTGGTATGTTGACTGTGTTGAATTACTAATGTACAAGTATGTTCTAGTGTTTACATTTTCCACGAAAGATTAAAGATAATGGAAATAACTAAACATATTTCACCTCCAGCCAATCAATGATAGGCATGGGAACGACTTGTCGTTTATAGAAGAAAGTTTCTCAAATTTACTAATTTAGTTATATCAAGAATTGAGAAGTATTACTAAATTTTCGTAAAGACCAAACATGAAATAAAGATTTTATATAAACGTCTTTCAATCAATAAAGTCACATCTTGAAGACTGATGGGTGGTAACCATCCCTGGTATTCGAAATGTTTTCAAGCTGTTTTTGCTAAACTTCTTCAGGCTCTTCTACCTCGTGGTTTTGTCAACTATATTGATAAAAGAAAATTATAAAAATTTCCTTATTTTATCCTATTTCGGGTACCTAGCGTTTCCCGGACTCTTTTTTTAATACTTTAATTTCAAAACCAGACCGAATTTAAACTTTTTGTTTTAAAAACACGGGGAGGTCATAAAACAAGAGATTCGCTCTATTAAAAATGGTGGGCCAATATGGACTCTCAGGGGGAGCTCATAGTCCACCCTTGATCAAAATTAAGATCACATACAAAAAATATACATACGACTTCTTACAAAACCATTCCAAATTTCAAATCATTCCTAAAAAACCGTATCCAAGCATTGCATAGAAACAGAAAATATATGATTTGGTAAAGAGATTCCACATTCGCGGGTAGGTGGCCGTCCACTGAGGCCAGCCTCCCAAAATTCCACTTCATGATAATTCTGGGTTGCATGTGCAGTCCCCGTTACTAATGCGTTTACAGGGGCTCGTCAGGTTTTGTGCAGTGTGGCAGGACTGTATTTGGTTATAGGAAACTCGCAAAAGTTAACTACTATGGAATGAGAGTTAAAAATATTAAAACAAATATATAAAAGTAAGAATTTTTTGAATGTTTATATGTTTAATAAGAAATGCATTAAATAGCTTGTTATTAGATCATATTTTTTGCCTAGTGGCCGGTGGTATAGCGTGGTGAGAGAGTGTGTGTGTATGTGTGTGTGGTGTACACAGGGTGGTGTAATGCGTCTAGTGTGACAGCATTATGTTAGCGCTAAGGTGCAAGTATAACAGCACCATTTGTATTATATAAATATTTACCCAAATGTATAATACCAAATTATTCACTAAGTTATTCAACAATGACTCAGTAGTTATTCACCAAATTATTCAACTGTGTTGATGTTATGAATTGCTGAGGTGACATTCCCTTCTCGGAGCGAGCTAGGTCAGGCTGGGGTTAGGGCATGTCACCAACAACACATCTGACGCGTTTCCTCTCAGGCCTGCCTGTCCACTCTCTCTCCTGGGTGAGAGACTCATATCACTTGTTACCCAGTAAACACCTCACTTAAGTGTTCTCCTGTAAGTGCACTAAGACACTTCCCTTAGTAGAGAAGATACAATATATTATCAACTGCACTCAGTACCTGTGAAACTATATCTTTCTACAAAAAAGCAAAACCAACAAAGTGTTTATTTCAGCCCTGCCACTTATCAATTCAAGAACTAATATATATATATATATATATATATATATATATATATATATATATATATATATATATATATATATATATATATATATATATATATATATATATATATATATATATATATATATATATATATATATATATATATATATATATATATATATATATATATATATATTTCATTTTTAGTCCATATAAATGACGCGGTTTTTGAACATATAATCAACGATTCACTAGGCCAGATTCAACTCTCGACCTTACTGGGTGACTAGGAACGCTATCGATCAAATCGATGGGCGACACTAAAAGCAGTCCCTGGCGCTGTGTTATATTTTCACACAAAACTCTTTTCATCATCGATGGTTGGCGCAGTAACCCCATTGAACGTTCGCGAGTATTTTAACAATTGTTGGTGTGAAACATGTTGCTATATATACTTCATTTCTGTCCATATACTACACGGGTTGGTCAGTAAGCGTTCCCTAGTCCCACCCAGTAGGTCGAGGGTTCGATTCCTTGCTGGTGAGGTCGTTGATTATATGTTCAAAGTCCGCGTGTTACATGGACTAAAAATGAAGTATATATATGTACCTCGCGTTTCATACCAGCTGGATTCGGTAAAATGCTACTGACACCACATACGAGGCACGGGCAGTTTCCCAATGAGGTTCACGGCGCCATCAGCTCGATGAACAGGCTTTGTGTGAAATATAACAAGAGTCTAGAACTGCTTTTAGTGTCCTTGTGGGCTAGCCGGTAAGCGTTCCCTAGTCCCACCCAGTAGGTCGAGGGTTCGATTGCTTGCTGGTGAGGTCGTTGATTATATGTTCAAAGTCCGCGTGTTAAATGGACTAAAAATGAAGTATATGTATATGTATATGTATATGTATATATATATATATATATATATATATATATATATATATATATATATATATATATATATATATATATATATATATATATATATATATATATATATATATATACAAAGGAGGGTGAGATCAAGTCCACAATGGTCAGGTATTAGGTAATGACCCTACTAGGGTTTCTTGTTTTGGGGGTTTCTTAGCATCCCGGGATTCTGGGACAAACCAGGATATTTCCCGGGATCCCGGGATTTCCCGCATCAGGTGATATTTGTACTAACTAATGCTATATGCTAGCCCTATACTTCATAAATTTAGTTATCTTTTGTTGCATAGGCTTTCTCTTCACATCACTCACATCAATGCACTCTTTGGCTGCAGGACGTTTAAGTTCAACTATATCAATCGAATGTTTGTTTCTTAAATGACGGTTTTCAAAACCGTTGAGGAATCGTGAGGGCAGCGTCTATAGTTCCTTGTGATCTCGGCAGAGGTTTGCATGTAAGACTTCCCTTACAGTAACAACATGGTGATTTTACGAAACTATGGACGAGTCATCACGGAATAGCGAGTCATATGCATGGCAATATTTTCATAGACTGAAAACTGGCCAGAAACATGTAATGAGGACCTAAAAGCTTTCCTGCCACAACTTAACAACTTAGCCCCTTCGATCAAATTCACTGTGGAATTAGAGCAAGACTGTAAATTGCCATTCCTAGACTGTCTGATACACAGAATAGGTAACACTTTTAAGTTCAGTATTTATTGAAAACCTACTAATGTGTGTTCATACATTCATTATTATTCTGCCCACCATAATAGAGTCAAACAGTCAGTATTTTCAACAATGTTTTTACGTGCTTTGAGAATTTGCAGCCCGGAATTCATTGATGAGGAATATAAATATATCTATTATATTGGCACAAACCTTAAATACCCTAGATCTTTCATAGACAAATGCCTGAACATTACTAAGAAATCTTTTTATAGAACTGATCCCAAGCCCACCCATGACCATAAGAATATCTTAATATTACCATTTCACAAAAATTTCTCTCAAATTCCTTTACAGCTAAAAACTTGGAACGTCAATGTGGCATTTAAAAACTCATGCACTGTTAAACAAATGTTAATCAAGAACTCCCCCAAAAACACAATTGGTTGCATTTATAAAGTTCCTTGCAAGGAATGTAATATGTTTTTCTTAGGCCAGACAGGTAAAGATCTTGTAACTAGATTTAAACAACATAAATATAGTGTTAGGACAGGTCAGGACTCCAATGCTCTGTTTGCTCATTTGAGGGATAACAAGCATTGCATTGACTGGGATAATGCCTCCTCAATATTACCATGTAATTCAAATGATAGTAGGAACATCATAGAATCTAGTCCCATTAAACATGCCGAAGCATTCAACATGAATTTGAGTAATAGCATGTACAAACTGGACAATTTTGTAATTAAGAAGATTTGTAACCAGGTGAGAAGTGGGTCACCTTACCCTCTGACCTGACTACCGACCATTGCGGTGCTACTTAAAGATTAATAGGGTCATTACCTAATACCTGATCATTGTGGACCTGATCTCACCCTTAGTCTGTACTCACCCCTGAATATGTGAATTACACGAAAGTGCTTGGGAACTTCGTGTTCTCTTCTTTCCTTGTGATTATCAGCATATACTTAGATCACGCGCACCTACAGTGATTTACTTGCATATATATATATATATATATATATATATATATATATATATATATATATATATATATATATATATATATATATATATATATATATATATATATATATTGTGTGACCAACACACAAGCACTGCTTGCCTCCTTCTGCTTTCAGCTACTGCAGCTGACTAGCCCTCGTGGCGAACTAGGAAGCAACTTGCATAAGTGCTCCTCCTCTGCCAATACACAGCCTCTTCACCATCAAGACTCCTGCTGTGCCTCCTTGTGGTAACACACGGTAAATAGGTGCCTCCTGGGCCCGTACTAGACCAGTGGAGGATCTCGGAGCAGTAGTGGGCCCCAGAGGGACGGCACATTGGCCCACTGGCATGTGGACACGCCCTGACCTCTACCAACCACTACCCCGCTGCCTTGTGGATTAACCTTGGAAGGTATAAAGGTACGGATGTAAGCCCCGAACGGAAAAGGAAAAATAGTAGTAGAAGGAAAAGAGCTCAAACCACGCCGGGAATATCGCGCTATAACTGCTCTCCAGCTGGAGTGTGGGTCACTCACACCACCAGTGGGGAGGGCAAGCTAATGCTCGATAAACCGGAAACGCTCGTGAGTTGTTGTTGACGATATCAGTCGCGGGTGGTCCGGTCCGGGAAGATGGCCAAACAATGGCACAAGAGAGAGGGCGGTCTTCACAGTTTCGGGTCCTGCAGGAGGT